GCCAACACTACAATAAAACCTGAAAACTGAGGTTTTAGTTTAGAAAAAAACTCACAGCCAGGCCAAGAAAATATATCCTTGACAGAGCACTGACCGGCCATGTGAAAACTTGGACGAGTTGCAGCTAATGAGAAGCAGCTCATGATGTCATCGCCTGGCGCCGCAACACCTTTCCGAGCATGCGCATGGCCCCTATGTGTGTTGTTATCTGATGCTCGGCTGGTGGAGCTATGCTGGGGTGACTTGGGTCACATGCTGAAAGACAGGGCACTGCATGCCCACTGTGAAATGCGTGCCTTAGGTTCGTCACCACTGGCCTAACCTTACCCTGGTGCACACCCCTAACCCTAATACAGGGCTAAAGTTCCATTGAAAAGAGGGCAATTTTGTAAAGGCCTTCCTTGAGTAGCTTTTTCTGCACAGCTCAACATTTCTGCCCATTCCAAACACATTCCAACCATCAAAATCATGCCAGGACACCTCGTTTTTCTAACCCTAACCCTACCCTGAGGTACACCCCCAACCTTAATACAGGGCTAAAATTCCATGAAAAGAGGGCGAGTTCGAAAAAGCCTTCCTTGAGTAGCTTTTTCTGCACAGCTCAACATTTCTGCCCATTCTAAACACATTCCGACCATCAAAATCATGCCAGTTCACCTCGTTTTTCTAACCCTAACCCAGTGATGTTGAACCTTTTAGAGACCGAGTGCCCAAACTGCAACCCCAAACCCACATATTTATTGCAGTGTGGCCACAATGCAATAAAACCTGAATACTGAGGTTTTAGTTTAGAAAAAACAACTCACAAGCGCACTGATCAGCCATGCAAAAGCTCAGACGACCCACAGCTAATGAGTCGTGGCTCGTGATGTCATCGCCTGGCGCCGCTACTCCTTCCTGAGCACGCGCATGGCCCCTATGTGCGCCATTATCCAATGCTCGGCTGCTGGGGCGATGCTGGGGCGACTTGGGTCGCGTGCCCACAGAGCGGGCGCTGCGTTACCGCTGTGGCATGCGTGCCATAGGTTCTCCACCACTGATCTAGGGTCTAGTTCAACTTTGTCATACGCTCATTGGGTGACTTTGGGCTAGTCATTCACTCTCGGCCCAACCTTTGTGGTTCTGAGGGTAAAACAGAGCTATGCAAACCACCTTGGATCCCTCACAAGAGGAAAAAGGGCATGGGATACTTGTAAATGCAACATAATAATAAAAAGGGAGTCAAAGAAAATAAGTTACACTTCATGCTAAAGTTATGACATTACATACATTTGTTTTGATAAATTAAATCAATCTGTTGCCAAACCTTAATCAAGAATTGATCCCTATGTTCCCTATGCATCCTTCTTCTTTCATTCATATCTTATTTGTATCTTATTTCTTTTCCTTGAAAATGAAAAAATACAGAAAAAGAAGAAAATAAGTTACAAATAAAGGATCACCTATCCAGTCCTCTAATTTTATATAGCTTTTGTTGTCGTTATGCACATTTTCATCCGAAAAATTCATATCAGTCTCATATTATGGTATGGACAGATGGTCCATTTGGGATAACACAGCAGAGTCCTAACTTTCCAGATCTATAGCCCCTTTCTTTCCTGAAATCATCAAATTTTATTTTTTAATACATTATTCCTCTCCTACTGAGAATAGCAGGATTCATTACAAAGTTAATACTGCTGGTCAAGATCTCTGGGAACAATTGCTGTCATAACAGCAAGAAAGAGGTGTCCATAAAGAGAGTTTTGGCTGCTGGGCGGTGTAGAAATTAATTCATTAATTCATTGATTCAGTATCAGCAGGCGTCCCCAGCACTCTCCAGCCTGCTGTGATGAGTGATGGGTGCATGGAAGCTTGTACTATTGGGTCCCACTGCACATACATACAGCACTTTTTAGGCGGCAGCAGCAGCAGCAACTGCAGTCTTCTGATTTGCATGGCCTTTACTTTGGAAAAGGCCAAGCTGGGGGTACAAGCTTGTCCTGCTCGCCAGAGGTGCTCACCATGGTGATCCTGTTTGGGGATGCCTGCAGATTAAGTGACCAACATCTGCAGCCTTAAATGGCTGGCTGTCCTCTGCTCATCCAGTGAATATGCCTTTGTTGCTTAATTCTTTAAACAAAATTCCAGGCATGGAAACCTAATCTTGGTGCTTCAGACAAAAGGGAAGCCAATCAGGAAGCAAGAAAAATATTCATAAGAGAAGATCTTCAAGGTTCATCTGTGCCCAAGCCCACTATCTCATCTTCCTTATCCAGTCAGAAAGAGAAAAATCACTGGATTAATATCAGAAGGTCAGCGACACGAAGTTGTAAAAGTGTCTTACTAGCGACATTTAGATGCCAGAAGCACAGGAAAGCAAATACTCAACAAATTAGGGGCAGTCTCAATATTAGTCTTCCACATTCACCAGCATTTAAGAAACATCTCTTTGCCTTTCCTCTTTTTTATTTTCTTTTTTTAAATAAATGAACCATCGAAGAGGGAAGGATGGGAGGAAACAGTGAGACAGAAAAACAGCAAACACTTCTCAACATGATGCTTCACTTCTCTACAACCTAGTGCTTTACTGAGGGCTTTTTTTTCTTTTCTTTTCTTTTTTTCCAGGAGGAGAAACATCCTTTAATATAAGTTTTTGTTCCCCAGGGGTTTTCCTCTAGCTTCCTTTGGGTTTCTGTATGTTCCATTATGCAACACAAGGTATAGAGTGCAATTTAGGCTTTACAAAAGGCTTCCATAGCAAAAAGCAGCAGCATTTAGGAAACCATGAGATTATTCTTGCTCTTAAAAAATAGTCACAACAATGGCTAGAAAACACAGGAAAGGTCATGGGAAGATGATAACATCTGTGAAACCACCATGAGTAAGGGATCACAAGAGCATAGTAAGTGCTCATGAAGAAAAGCCCAGTGTTTACACCTGGCAAGGTGGGAGGAGGCTTCTTGTGATGCGATGTGATGTCATGTTGTCTCTGACTTACAGTGAACGCCCTCTGAAATGCCCTGTCCTGCACAGCTCTTCTTTAGAGATTGGAAACATTATACCTGAGCTTAATGCATGAGAATTATCTACCCCTGAAAGGCAGAAGCATATTTTGCACAGAAATGCATGTAACAAAGCCTCAATATCCACTGCTTAATTAAAAAAAAAAAATTGGGAGAGGGTGATTTGGAACTGACGGATAGTGGCAAAAGAGTTTGCTTAACCATCCCTTAGGAAATCCTCTCCATCAAGCTGCTTTTTCTCCTGGAGGGTTCCAGCATACAAATGTTTACTCTTACAGAGATGCTTCTTTATTTATTGTGTTTATTTATTTCAAGTCTCTGTCGGTGTGAGCTTAAGTGGACTTAAGTAGGCTCCAGGGGATGGTGGAGGACAGGAAGGCCTGGAGGAATGTTGTCCATGGGGTCGCAGTGGGTTGGACGCAACTTTGTGACTAGCAGCAACAACATTTCATTTCTGTACCACCCATAGCCAAAGCTCTCTGGGCAGTTTATAGCAAAGTATAAAAACAGTAACATATAACAGATTTAACAAGAATTAAAATCAAAATAGCATAAACACATTATAAGACAATAAAAAGACTCAGCCAAGAGTAGAAGAAAAGCACCTGGCTAATTGTGTCAGACCCCTCCAAAATGTGGCTAGGGGTTGTTCTGCAACCTGCATGTCTATGAAAAATGTTGTTCTGTCCTCAGGTGTGATAAGCTTTAAACAGATAATTAAATGTTGGCAGAAGAAGAAGAAAAGGCAAAAGAGAGATGGCATTTTCTTTGAAATTGTGAAAGATTTTGCGTATCTTGACTCAGTCATGCCGTCAAGTGGAGACTGCAGCCAAAAAATGTGATCAGTGAAAAAGTGGGTTCTAGATCAAATCAAACCTGAGCCAAAAGTGAGGCTGTTATACTTCGGACATACCATGAAAAGGCACAACTCACTGGAGAAGACAATAGTGTCAGGGAAAGTCAAAAGCAGAAGAGGAAGGTCAGCTATAAGATGCATTGACTCCATAAAGGGAGTTATGCATTTATAAGAGCTGAGCAGGACCTTTCGAAGGGCATGTGTTGCTGTAAGTCAGAGGCAACTTGATGGTGCATAACAATGAACAACAACAGGAGAAAACGCTAAAGAAATTGTATCTGAATACCTGCCTAGAACCTGAATTTGTCCTGTTAACCAAACTGGTGCTCTGGACAGCAACAATTAATATAGCAGCTTTGTCTTAGGCTTCTAAAGTCCCTCAGACACTCCCCAAAAGACCTGACAGGAATTCTCAAAGCTACATCTATGCTAAAAATGCAAACAACCCTATTTATATACATTTTTTTCAGTGGAGGAATCGTCATGGTTATTTAGCCTTCTCTGCTCCAGAATATTTGTTTGCTTTGAATTCCTCCATCCTCATTCAACCCAGCTATTGTTTACTAAGGCAGGCTTCTCCTCATGAATGCAAAATTCTGTATACGGTAGGACTGTCCGGACATTAACAGCCGCATCCATCAGTAATTTGTAGGTTAATGAACCTACGGATTGTGGGAGCGCAGAATGATCCCAAGCCGCACCCAGACTGCTTCCTGTTTCTAGTAACATTTAACCCATGGGCTGTTCTTCGGTTAGCCGGAGATTGTCTATCCCATTAACCCTAGTCCCATTCATCGCTTAACCCATGGATCCTGGCACTGAAGAACCCTTGAATGCAGCATCAAAAGTTTGATACTGGAAACGGGAAGTGGCTTGCATCCTACACAAATGTGGCGTGTGTCCCCACCAGCTGCTACTGGACGACTTCACGATGTCTAAAGCAGAGAACGATAATCCCGCATGGGTTCCCATAACATGACCTCAGCCACACAGATTGCTGGGATACATGTGTGTGCCTGCACATGCAGAGACACACCAGAGCACACACCAGTGCCAAGAAGACTGTCTTCACATGCAGCCAGCTCACTCTCCCTTCCTGTCCTCCTCCATAGCCGTCAAAAGATAACAAGGAGCCTCACTATGTTCATGAGGGTGAGAACATAATTCTGGACATGTTCCTTCCCATGGAACCGCACAACTGAATCATCCACTGCCAGCAGAACCTCTATACTGTAGTCCTCTTTCTTGGCGTGGCGCCGCTTCCGATCCGCTTCACCAAACTGGTCTTCAATCAGGTTCAGAGTTTTGGGGAGCTGACCCAGGCTAAAGCCTGGAACTAGAAAAGTTAAGAGCACATATAAAGGGATTAAGAAATGACTGCAAGCATAGAAGCACTGTTTCAAACACCGTCCTTGTTTCTCTAATTGCAACACTCCTACCTGCCAAAATGCAAGCCAGTACATGCAAGTAATGCTCAAATTGCTATACGCACAAACACGCACACATACACAAATGATACTGCGTTGACTTGGGCTATATCAATTGACTGCAAGCAGCTCTATGGCCCTTTTTCCTAAAAGTGTCACCCGATAAGGAATGAGTGTTGGATCAACAGGCCCCAATGTTCCCAGAGGTCTTGGCTTTCAGAATCCAGCCATCACCAGAGATTTGGGGCAAAGATAAAGAAACCACAAAAATGGGGTTTGAGGTCACTGACTGAATTTGGATGCGGACTAGAGCAAGATGAAGTTTAGCTAGACCCAGAGCAGCTGGCAGGAGTGGAACTCACAAGCCCTCTCATGTTGCTTGGCTTGTCTCAGCCAGGATAAGTAATTTTGTTGCCTGTTTTTACTATATTATGAATGCATTTTTGTAAATAAAACAAATGTTAGACAATATCAATTTCCAGTGCTCTCACATCCAGAGAGAACTAATCTCTGTAGCACAAGGAAGGGGAACCGCTGGCTCATTGGATAGATCTGGCTGCCCTTGTCCTCCATCCAGCCCCAAGGGCCTCCCATCCATGCTGCAGACACAGGGGCCTTTCCTCCTCCCACCCAGCCCATCTTGTGAGCACTTCAGGCTCCGTTTGGAGTGGGATCCTGAGATAGTGGTCAAGCACCCCGCAATTCCAAAGGCCCATGAAGGAACGGCCTCTAACAACTGCCGACTAGCAGGGAACCGGGTTGGGAAACAGCGGAGGGTAAAGGGTCAAAGCCCTCCCACTCTCTACACGTCACAGTCTGGATCAGAGGGCCTGCGCCTGCAAATGTAAGATGCGTGTGTTGTGGGGGAAGACAAGCTGGAAGGTGGGAGGATCGAAAAGTTACAGCCCCCAGAATCCATGCCTGGGTCCCAGTCCAGATCAGCCATGCTCCCCAGGGTTCGTTTTTTTGCTTTGGGTGGGAATTCCTTCCAGATGAATAGGAGGTTTTTCTCCAATGCAAACTGGTGTGTGCGTGTGCATGTGTGTGTGTGTGAAAAACAGGGGGAGAGGGAGGGAGGGGGAGAGGGAGAGAGAGCAGCCAATCCTTATTTTTGTCCCACCTGCTGCTGCTGTGCAGCTGACACATTGCCCCAAAAGGAATGCAGCCTTATAAGAAATGGAGCCTCCCGTTCCCTGTTCTGGCTCTTGTTTTGCACATTTTTATTCATTTGCTTTATTAGATGAGGGACGTGAGGCACTTCAGAGACCACTGCTGCACCTAAGCAAGAGTCATTTGGGGCGCATAATGTCTCTCTGCCCTGGAGACACTAAGATAGCAGGTATTTCCTCTCTGTCAGCCCTGTATGAAGTAGACACTGGAAGACTCAAGATGCTTTATTTGATGTGCAAACTCCTAAACTGGGGTGGGCAATGCATGGCCCTCCAGATATTTTGGCCTACGGCTCCCATTATCCTCAAAAGTTGACTAGGGCTGACGGGAGTTGTAGGACAAAACATTTCAGCGTCTACATGTTGCCCACACCAACTTAACCAATATGCAGACATGGCTGTACCTTCGTTATGATGATCCTTGAATGCTTCTGCTCTCTTCTGGTGGATGGTAGACCTGCGATAGACCACATGAGCTCGCCCGGTCTTTTCCTTCTCCCACTGTCCTCTCTCCAGGGGTTCAATAAAAAACTCACCGCTGTCTATCCGAATCAGACCTGCCTGGAAAACCATCAAAGGAAATATGAGAGAAAACTAAGAAACTATGCATTTACAGTACTGGTAAGAAAGCTCGTCGCATTTTTCTTCTTCGTTTTCTTTCTTTTGCTTTGCTGCACTCTATTTGCTTTTGCTGCACTCTATAGAAATGTTAATAATAATAATAATAATAATAATAATAATAATAATAATAATAATAATAATGTTATGCACTGCAGTATCTTATGCACTGCAATTCCCCACTTTCTGGACTGAAATACAGGTACACCACTGATTATCTAATTTACTTTTTGCAAGACTGGACACCACCAAGGGCCTTTTCATGTCACAAAAGAAGAAAAACAGTGTTCTGATGTTATCGCTGAATGAAATATAGGGCTTTCCTACACAAGGCATTTGTGCAATTCCCGACTCATGGTTGTTCATAGGTTCTTTCAACAACATTGTGACCCTCTTATTTTGCTTCTGTGTCTAACAAACACTTTCAGCATGTTTTCTTTACAGCAGGGAAATGCAACTTTTTATAAAAGTGATAGAAAGTATGATTTCTGTTGTGTATTTGTGCTGTTCTGCTATACCACAGTACCACCCAGAGGTTATGCAGTGGAAGGGTAGGAAAATAAATGCTCTTTGCATGGTGCAAATCTCAGTTCTGCAATGAAACCAAAAGCAGCCAATTAATAGCTGGTAGGCACGTCATGAGTGGAGCCAGCTGGAGCCGGGGGTCAGACTAGATGGCCAGGGAGACCCCTTCTGACTCACTCTGTTTCTATGTAACAGCTGCATGTAGAAAAGCTCAATATATCCCTTTGCCATCCTTGCAATGCAGACAACTCCCAGTTTCTTCAGTGGTCATCAAGAACATGAAAACGTTCATTTAGCAATAAAGGAACAGCAGAAATGGCATGGTGCTGCTGCTGCTCCCGCAAACACCATTTCAAGGAAAAGCAGTTTTTACTCTCAGAGTGCTAGTATGTGCTCCGCACCAGCAGATGGTATTAGGGACAACACTAGGAAATTGTCAATAACTAAACCTCACGGATTTTGTGTGAATTCTTATTCACACCACTGGTCTCTCAGTTGGATCCTATATATTTTTCCCAAAGTATCTAAATTATTTTTAACATGCATTAGAGCTTAGCAGGGACCGGCTATCAAATCTTACATTCTCCAGCAAGTGTCCTTACCATCTTTAAGCTTCTTCCTTCTTTCAATTAATCCTCTCTCTCTCTCTCTCTCTCTCTCTCTCTCTCTCTGTCTCGGGGTATACTTTGAATGTTTTAGACAAATTCTAGTTTAGAAAATGCAGGACATAAGAGATTCATGTCCCCAAAGAAAATGCAAGAAACAACAGATGTTACTCGAAATGCTTCAGATACCAGTTGTTTGAAATAGGCATTATGCTTGCAGTAAAGCTGTGCTGAAACTGCCCATCAGTTATGTTCTGAAATACCATTTGATGAAGGAATTCAAAAGGAAATAAAATTACACACTGATGGCTGATGGGGTTTTTGGCAAGGATGATAATATTGACCTAGCGGTTACAGCGTCTGCCTGATCACCATTCATTTTTACTTCATCTGCTGGCTAGGGAAGGGCTCTTTTGTAACACACATTAGCGGTATCCTTTGAAGCTCTGTAATAATACAGACTATTTTTTTAAGAAATATTTTTTGTCCCTGTTAAATCAACAAACTCGTTGGGAATTTGAAACTAAAACCAGCCCTTCTGCCATGTTTGGTGGCTTCCAGTCGATCATACCGTCAGGTTCATCTGTTGCCACAGAGCTGCCCTTGCATGCCCATCTGTCGCCATACTGACAGCGCGTGGCTCACAGTTTATGGCTAGCTGGCTTGCAGGGAGTGCACACCGAGAGCTCCACCCCTCTTTTATCATGCACATTCAGACAAACGTATCTGCTATCAAGCAGGCTGTACAACTGCACTTCATAAACACCTGATGGCCCATCCAGTGAATCCCATTTTATCTGCTGAGCTCAACAATTCAGGCACATCAAGTTTGTTGACATGGTATCAGGAAGGCTCCTGTTTCCCCAGTCCTATCCCTTCTACACCATTGCTGTGATAAGAAACTGCCTTGGATGCTGTAATTACACCACAACAGAAGATGCTGTATGCCACTCATGTCGGCCATTTGCTATTACCAAGGAGGACCTCTGCGCCTCCTCTCCTCCTTTGCAAGTCGGTGCAACTGCTTGCGTATCAACTGACTGCTTATACTCGCCCTGCTAGGCATGCTCAACACGAGTGCCTTAGGATTTACTGCACTGTCATCACCTGTTCCAATCCTGGACAAGCACAATGCTGTACAGTAGTTCATAGGAATGCATTGCAAATCATTTTGGTGAACGTTTAAGTGGCCTCACCTGGTATAAACAGATGAACAAGGCACACCTGTGCAGCATAGACGGCTTATGGTCCACCAGACTTGGGAAGAATAATTAGTTCCATACACCTATTGTAACTAAGGTGGGATCAAAGGACTTATGCAGACCTTTTCTCCTTTTTTACTGTTATACATCACAAACATATACAAACATATTTCTATGCTACACTTGCATTGACTAACTTGGTCCGATTTAGGTCAGTTTTGACCCAATGCCAGATAGGCAAGCTCGTGCCAATCCACCTTGGAAATGACCCAAATTATTTCCCAAAAGGATCAGATATAACTCGGGCCATGGTCCAAGTCAACCACCCACCTACGCCTCCTCCCAACCCACCCTTCTTCCCTTTCAACACAGCTTATCCCTCCCAGGCAGCACCAGCGGCACCAGTCCTGATGCAGAAAAAGGAAACAAACAATACCTGCTCTCTCCTTCCTCCCCTTCCTTCCGTTCTCTGGCACACATAAGGAGTGCGCCAAAGAAGGATCGGATCTCCTGTATCCCCTTTTCTTGCATCGGGATGCTGCCATCCATTACTGCCGCCTTGGATGGGCAAGTTGTATTGAAAGGGGATGGGGTGGAGGAGCGTGACAGGGAGGGCTGGAATTTTTTCTCCAACTCAGATTATTTGGGGACTTGAAAGCTTCTTTTCTTTGTGGCAGGCTTTGATAAGCCTTTCAAGTGTGTATCCAAACCCAAGGTCAGTTACCTGTAATGGGTCCCCATATCAAACATTTCTATGATTGCAGGAACAAATATGAGGCTAGAACGACATTCTACATTTGAACTAAGTTAGGCCTACAATAGAAATTATACAATACAAGGAAACCCATAGTTGGTACTAATAAAAACAGTGGAATGTTTTTGCACAAGAATTGTTTTAATGGACTGATTAAGGCTTCCCCTCTTTCATGGATCACTGCCTTGTTGTGGCGAAAGGGCTTGCGTAGCTCAATGAAGCTATGAGCTATGCCGTGCAGGGTCACCCAAGACGGACAGGTCATAGCAGAGAGCTCTGACAAAACGTGATCCATGGGAGAAGGAAATGGCAACCCATTCCAGTATCTTTGCCATGAAAACCCCATGGACAGTACCAAAAGGCAAAAAGAGATGACGCCGGAAGATGAGCCCCTCAGGTCAGAGGGCTAGTACTAGTAGCACCAGAAAGAAGGAAGCGACTGGGTCAAAGCCGAAAGGACACTCAGTTGCAGATGTATCTGGTGGTAAAAGGAAAGTCCGATGCTGCAAAGATCTATACTCCATAGGAACCTGGAATGTAAGATCCATGAATCAAGGCAAGCTGGATGTGGTCAAACAAGAGATGACAAGACTGAACATCGACATCTTAGGAATCAGTGAACTAAAATGGACAGGAATGGGTGAACTTAATTCAGATGACCATCAGGTATACTACTGCGGGCAAAAATCCCTCAGAAGAAATGGAGTAGCCTTCATAGGCAATAACAGAGTAGGAAAAGCAGTACTGGGATACAATCTCCAAAATGACAGAATGATCTCAGTTCGAATCCAAGGAAAACCATTCAACATCACAATGGTCCAAGTCTATGCCCCAACCACTGGTGCTGAAGAGGCTGAAGTTGACCGGTTCTATGAAGCCTACAACACCTTCTAAAATTAACTCCAAACAATGATGTCCTTATCATCATGGGGGATTGGAATGCTAAAGTAGGAAGCCAAAAGATAACTGGAATAACAGGCAAGTTTGGCCTTGGAGTACAAAATGAAGCAGGGCACAGGCTGGTAGAATTTTGTCAAGAGAGTACGATGGTCACAGCAAACACTCTTTTCCAACAACCCAAGAGATGACTCTACACATGGGCATCACCAGACGGTCAACACAGAAATCAGATTGACTATGTGCTCTGCAGCCAAAGATGGAGAAGCTCTATACAGTCAGTAAAAACTAGACCAGGAGCTGACTGTGGATCAGATCATGAGCTTCTTGTTGCAAAATTTAGGCTGAAGTTGAAGAAAGTAGGGAAAAGCACTAGGCCACTCAGGTATGACCTAAATCATATCCCTGATGAATATACAGTAGAGGTGACAAATAGATTTAAGGAATTAGATCTGATAGACAGAGTGCCTGAAGAACTATGGACGGAGGTTTACAACATTGTACAAGAGGCAGCAACTAAAACCATCCCAAAGAAAAAGAAATGCAAGAAAGCAAAATGGCTGTCTGAGGAAGCTTTACAAATAGCTGAGGAAAGAAGGGAAGTGAACAGCAAGGGAGAAAGAGAAAGATACAAACAATGAAATGCAGAATTCCAGAGAATAGCTAGAAGAGATAAGAATGCCTTCTTAAATGAACAGTGCAAAGAAATAGAAGAAAGCAATAGAATAGGGAGGACCAGAGATCTCTTCAAGAAAATTGGAGATATGAAGGGAACATTTCATGCAAAGATGGGCATGATGAAGGACCAAAATGGCAGGGACCTAACAGAGGCAGAAGAGATTAAGAAGAGGTGGCAAGATTACACAGAAGAACTATACAAGAAAGAGCTTAACGTCCCTGATAACCACGATGGGGTGGTCACTGACCTCGAGCCAGACATCCTGGAATTTGAAGTCAAAT